AGCCCCCCTCATTAATAATCATGACCAGGTGACGTCCTCCAAATGGACACCCCCCCCCCCCCATTATTATTACCTACTATAATGAGCCAAGAATGCCTGTGTGCATCGCTCGTGACGTCACTCCACATCGACCAGTCCCCCTCAATCATGAACAGGTTGTGTCCTCCACATGGACGGCCCCCCCTCATGAATAATCATGAGCAGGTGACATCACTCCACATGGAGCCCCCTCGCCCCTCAATAATCATGAGCAGGTCACGTAACTCCACATCGAACAGTCCCTCTAATAATTATTATAAGGTCACGTCCTCCAAATGGACACCCCCCCCCATTTTTAATAATATGCGGTTGACGTCACTCCACATGGGCCTTGGTGTCAACTGACAACCCTCATGACAAAGGCAGAACCCTCACGTCACGTGATCTCCGTAACGCTACTGAGACATCAAAGTAAAAAGGACGTCGTGATGAACAATGGATTATAACTTTTAAAATGAAATAAGTCTGTCACCGCGTCCTTACAAATTGCACACGAATGGATGCAATGAATATGTCGCGGTCTGCTTTTCGCTTGCAAGTTTCAGCTTTACTGAAATACACCCATCCTTGGATGGGAAAAAGGCTAGTTGGTTAATATTACGCTTGTTTTTATGCAAAAAAGCTTGTTTTTGCGATTCCACTGTGACCGTTGCCATGCTTTACCTAAGCCACCTGCACACCAGAAAAATGGATATCCAGTGCCATTTAACTCTTGGCCAGCCAAACATGAGCAATGTTTGTGCAGCGAGTTTTAACCCTTCCCCTTCGTGGTGTGTGTGTTTCGGGGCCAGGATGCTGTCGATGACAAACTGGATGCCAAGCATTGGCCGTACATCTCTGCCCGTTCATCGGCAACCTTTGGCACCACCGCTGTCAGGTGCGGTGCTTCGTCATCTTGTTGTCTTCCTGTTTCGCTCGAACCTTTGCACCCAGCCATCCAGTAACACATAAAGTGGCCAGTGACATTGCATGTTGTATGTGGTCGTCTCGGATTTGATTGTTTCGACTTGGGTTTGTGGAGATGAAGAGGATAAAGCCCTGCCATATAGAAAACATACACGGCAGAGATAAAAGGTCCTAATTCCGATGTCTGGTAAAAACATCCCAAGGTCTCCGTTACCAATAGAAAGATAAACACCAAAGTCGGTATATTTCAGCCACATTAAAAGCTGTAAACCTACCCCTTGGTTTAATATGCATGATATATTATAGTAATGCTTAGGACTACAATTGTGTTCAATAAGCACACGATGGAGCTGCCTCAGACCTATCCTATTATTAGGTGTCTTATTCCTGAACCCCTTGTGATGTTCACCCATTGAGTTTTCTCTAAAGGTCGGGGTTGGCAAGAGGTTACGTCTTTCGCGTCGTTTTTTTGACGTGCGCAATGCTCGTGCGCCCTCTTGTCAATCGAGCAGCGCCCGCTATGGCCACTGGCACAAGAACAAGAGTCCTGGCGAGTACCGAACTGGCCCTCGCCTCATCGTCTTCATCATCGGTGGCGTCTCCTTCTCCGAGATGCGATGTGCCTACGAGGTCACTCAAGCCAATGGAAAGTGGGAGGTGCTCATCGGTACGTTACGTATGCCCTCCCCCCACCTCACTCATACATTCATGCCCTATTTGCCTATGATTCTGTTGTGTGTGTGTGTAAGAGTTTGTAAAGCTCCTCGGGCAAGGCTGGAGCCTCCCGTGGAGAATATAATTTGGGATATTCTGTCAATAAAAAACACTTATGTGAGCCCTGTAGCGGGGCAACCGCTTTGGTCTTTAGTTAACTAATGATTGCTTTATTCTTGATATTTTAGGTAAAGCAAAATTAGTATTCAGGTTAGTATGTGCTCGTTGTTAGTATGTGCTCGTTGTGTGTTGTTCTTGCGTTTGCAGGATCCACGCACATCCTCACTCCGAAGAAGCTCCTAGATGACCTGAAGAAACTGAACAAACCGGACGAGGAAAATGGAAGCTAGGATGGAAATTGAAAGTCTTACCTGGCGACGGGTAAAATAAACAAAAATAAACAAGCAACTGCTACAAGACTGGAGTGCAGATAATCCGTATGGATGAAAGATAAGCATAAATAAATCGCTAACCACTTCAATGTGCGTAAATCTCCGTATCGTCAGTAAAGTATGAATGTTTGAGGCTTAAAACTGCAGTACAAGCCCAGTAACCGTGCCATCATCGTGCTTGGTGTACCCCACACACACACACACATATGCATTGACTGTTTATTCTTGTATACTGTTTATTGCCTTCTAGAACACATGTTGTGCACAGTGTGCTTGCTCGTGGTGTAAGTACAACCTGTTAGACCATGACAACGCAAGATGCCTCACTATTGTGTGTATTTGTAGACACGTGTGAGCCACGCAGTTATTTTTTCAAAAGTTAGTGCTGCTAAGTGGCACGTAGTCGCGAGATGACGTACCGGCTATCCGGTGAGTAAACGAGTGTGTTAATGGGGCTTTCTTATTGCATGAACATGTAGTAAATAGCTTGGCCTTTCATTTTTACGTTCACAAGTGTCTCGCATTAATTGCATTTTGATTTGTATAAAAACGGCACAATTTTGCCTTCAGGAAACCGACGAAATAAACCTTAATCTAGTATTATCGAAGTGCAAACAATGTATGCACAAAGAGCACAACAGTGCATTATTCACAGTGATGATTACAAGCAATCCTGAAAGCGGTGGTCAGATAATGAAAATTCGCGTGACAGCCTTGCGTGATGAAGGCCTCACTTTTACAACTCCAGGCCTGTTTTTCCTGGTCATTTTTGCCGCACAGCTGTCCAGTGAAGCAGGCCCTTCAACAGGACCAGAAGCTGCCATTGCAGTGTTTACTGAACGGAACAATTAGTCCCCTTTCAGCAGTTGCTGGCTTGGCGGCACAGCACGCAGTAACCGTGTTGAGCGTTGCTTTGTTAATGCGGCTTTCTTCCAGCAGTCGGGGGTTGACGCCATCTCAAGAGTGGGAATATTTTGAGCGAGGGGCATCACGACGTGGGCTGGCACGAGCGATTGGATTCGCTGACCCGAGTATGGTCTACGGCTGTACAAAGAGCTGCAGTCAAGTCCTTGACTCAAATAACAGAGAGACATTCAGACTGTTTGGACCAAAGGGAACTGCTTTTATGGGAAATCATAGGAAATTAGATTCCAACTTTGTGAGAATACTCCACCATTAATTGACATCAAATTCCAAGACTTAAAATGTCAAACTATTTAAATATTGTTATTACTGTGTTTCTTTATCAAGTTAGATTTTATTTTACTTGCTACTTTATACCTTTTGCTGATCATAATTTATTTAGGTAAAAATGGTTTCTTTGATTTTTGCAAACAATATATATAGAGGCATAACCATACTTACGACCTTTGCTATCCAGGTAGGTGGTATATACAAGCCAAAGGTTAAAGCACAAGAGGCCATTATGCTTTGAAATACTATGCTTTTTTCTCTCCACTCATGTACTATAGGTGAGCAGGCATAAATCCAGCTGCATTACTTGAAGAGTAAGTTTTCGCTGAACACCACACACGTGACTTAGTGTTGCCTTTTTGAAATCTTTACTTTTCTTGTCGTTTGACAGGCATGCATTTGTGGCTTCAGATTTATTTTATATCTGTTTGCTTTGTTAATATATGTGCTTTGAAAGGAGCTACTTTGATGTTCATGTGGTGTACCAGGGGCAGTCTGATCGGTGCGTGGTTTTTGGGTGTAATGTTTTTGTGCTTGTATATGGATGCGGTGTCGTCATGTATCGGCTTGATTTCTGTGCAATGGTGCAATAGATGTTTCTAAAGAAATTAAATACATATTCTGGCTTCACCACCACTTAAGTGTGAGCAGTCATTCTTTTAATCATGCTCATGCCATGTCTTTCAAAGAGATTACATCTGTGCCTGTGCTACCCTGGAATTGGACCATCGCACCTCAGTAGTTGAGCAGGGTTGGACCTGTCCGGCATCACACTTGTCAATCCACCCCCCCCCCCCCCCCTTGTGATTTGATTCTGCTCATTTCTGGGCCACCCATTTGGTTAACATTTGTACTGCACTTGTTTATACTATATGCTTTCTCCTTGGTTTCATTGTGTATATAGTTTGTGTTGTCTGCCTTTGTATCGTCATTTCTTTACTCATTCCTTCTGCCTATTAGGCTAAAGGAAACATTTGTATACATTTAAATTTATTGTTCTTGGTTAGGTGTATGAGCCCTAAGTGTAAGAAATTTAGATTGCCAAACATTCAGCCAAGTATCATTACTGCTCAACACTGGGGCTTTAATTGTCAGAAACGTACACAGGCACTGAAGAAGGAAGCTTAACCATAGCGTAGTGTTCTTTGGGTCTTTCAGTAAAGTGACTTTACCGAAAGACCCAAGGAATATTAATTCCTGCAGTCACGACAGAGTAGTGGTTCCAACCGTTGTGGGCTCAGACCACTCATGAATCAGGATGGTCATGAGTTGGGAGCAATTGAGTTGTTAAGTGCCAATGACATGGAACGAACCTTGGATCATGCATTATTAACATACTATTAAAAAATTAAGACTATGCAAAGTGCTCCAAAATGTTAATTCAAAGCCGTGAAAAAACTTGATTGACATCTAAATATGTGCAATGGGCAATAAAATACATGGTGTTATGTGAAGAAAATAATCGCAGTACCTGTAACAGTCCCACGTGCTCCCCCAGAGCTTTGTAAACCTCAGGTTGGGAACCACTTATAGGATACAATTGATGTCTCCAGATACTGATCATCTTGGGACAGTATTTTACTTGACTAATTTCTGGCGTAAGACCCACATCTTTGTAAACTGACTTGACCTAGCCAAATTACTTATTTAAAAAAATGACTTGTCACATTTAGGAGCTTAACTAATAAGTTGTTTTTTTTGGGGGGGGGGGGGGGGAGAGGAAATACTTTTAAAAAATGTACCACTCCAAACCGGAAATATCGTAAAGTTTATTACAATAAGTCAAAAAGTGTACATGTACATTTTGATCAAATTCAATAATTTAAAACATTTGGTAAATGCTGTTGAATCTCAAATATAACACCTGACATGAAACAAATTTAGAAGAAAAACCCTTAAACACTTTTCATTACAAAAAACCTCAAGTGCAAAACTTTTGTCTTTGCAATCCCTGTATTTAAAATATCCGTAAAAACAATTGTTACTATAACAATGCATTGGAATAGTTAAAGCAGCATTTGATTGTCTTTAAGTGTTTGTCTTATTCAATGTATTACACAGGATAAAATGTGCTGAAGGGCAACGTTGCAACTCTTGAACTGATGAAGGCACCGGATGCCATAATTTAATACTTAAATGGTGTTGTTGCGTGGCTCGGTCTGTCCATATGTTTAGAAGTTTAAATGACTAGTTCAGAGAGTTGATGGGTTTTAAAGAGCTATAAAATTGACAACCATTAAGAGTTATAAAACCTCTGCAATAGTTTGCATTGCAGTACTACCTAACAATAAATAGTCTTGCAACTGGAAAAATGGGGCGTTTCATTTCATCCTATTTCTGGCAAGGGTGTTGCACTTATTGAAATTTAACATAGCATATGGTAATACAAGCTGTGCACCTAATCGTCATAAAACACTTAACAATGCTGTTACAGGCATGTCTCAATGGGCCTTGGCCCAACATGACTGTCTTAACAAGCATTACCAAATACTTTGGAATGTAAGTTGTAACAATGTAATTATCCAGGAAAGCCTCGCTAATTCTCAAGACTTTCATGAGATGTTTTGTCAATTTTCATAGAGTGCTTTGTGGAGGGAAAAAGGAATACCTGGCACACAAAGCAATAACACTAAGGTTCACACAGATGTGCTCATAAACCCGCTTCCAGTACTGCCATCTCTTAAGCAACATCGCAGCTCTGCGGGTATGGGAATTTAACGAATATACGTGCTCCACCACCAACCCTTACCTCCCAAAGTGCCTGATCGCGGGCGTGCGCCACTACGCCTTGCCGTAATACTGTACCACAAAGAGTGTGAAGAAGCCCACCGCGGTATCCAGCGCGAGTTCGCCGACAGTGGTTACGGAGCGCACGACACCACACCGTGTCAGCGGAAGAGGAACTGGTGTGCGGTGTGCACATGGGCGATATCCCTGGAGAGGAACTCCACCATCCTCTGGCTTGTGCGCCGCATCCCCTCGGCCGTCCTGATCGCGCGGTCCAGAGACTTGCATAGCTCCCGCTCGGAGCCCTGCAAGGACTTGGGAACACAGCACCCCACAGTGTTACAAAAACACTGACAATGCTCGCATGGACATTTTACAGGTAGGCTAAGGCGTGGAGCAATTACGACAACAACAACACGAATAATTATTGTTTGGAATGTCTCCCTCAAATTGTATCCCGATTGTGCTGTTGGTGTTGTGTCACTAGACAGCTTATCAAGATATTTTCCAGAGCAGCGAAATCCTGTGTAGATCACAGCACTCCGTCTGAAATCCCTTCAAGTGACCTCTGTTCCAGACAGTCAAGTTGGGGGGCAACACTTTAACACCCTCACTACTTGAAAATGTTCACCAGTCACTGACATTTTTTTATTCAGAGCTAGAATTTAGCGACAAAGCACATAGCCAGATTTATTGCAATGTTTTTTTGTAGCGTTATGTTGACCGCAATTAAACCAATCGACTAACTTGAGAATCCGGTTTAATCAGAGGCGGCTGAAACCTGAATTCATACCCAGGACATAAGCAGCGCTAAACTCCGCTCTCACCTGTGGGTCACGTGGTCACCTATTGTCCATAATTCTAACACTTGCGTGGAGCGGTTAAGACAACACACGACCAATGCGCCTGCGGAAACTCACAAAGTGGTGTGGAGCTGTTATGACACCAACAAAAAACCCTCATTGCAACACCACACCAACAACACTCACGCTGACAGTTGTGGCGTCGCGTCCTTACCACGCCGATGTCCTCGCTGCGTGCCCGGCCGGCGCTGACTCCGCGTGGGCGCGCCCGACTCCTGGGCGGTGCTTCCGGTAGGTAGAAGCGGGAGTGATATGGCGACACGTACAGCGCAGAGGGCAGGCCGTATCTGCTGGTGCACGTGGGGGCATGGTCAGTTTAGACGGCTCTCCATCCACCTCTCTCTGCCAAAAAAACAACCATCTTTTGCACAGAAGCCACACGCTGCTGTTGCGGAAGTCAATCCTGGACTGTACATTGCTGTCACAGCACTGTCAAACCAATGCTGAATGAGGGCCTCCTCACACCGATCATGCTTCAATGTGCTGGTCAGTGGAGGTTGGTGAAGGAGGGCTTAGGATCTAAGCCTCCTGGACATCTGTGAAAAAAGAGCTGTATAGCTTATCAGATTCCTCCGATATAAATACTCTGAATGGACCAGTTTAGATATTACTACCGATATTATCCATGATCGTGAATCAAGTTTAAGTTGCTGGATTCAAAGTGTAGTAATCCCCCAATTCAGTGTAATACAATGTAATGTCTGACTCCCCGAGTTTGATTGTTAACAGGTTTTTACAAGTTATCAGGAATGTAATGTTGCATCCATTGGTTATCAATTCTTATGCTCACAATGTACGGTATAGAATATTTTGTGGGAATATATTATTTCACATTTGTTCTAATTGATTTATTGGACCCCTGCAGCAATTAGGGGTGGGACACTACACTCAAAAGAAAATTGAATCTTTTTTTTATACCCAACTAGACTAGAACTTGTATTGAACAGCCACTAGACATACTTTCAAGTGAAATGATACCAAAAATTGCAAATGAGTTTCAATCTAGAAAGTCTTTCTTATTCTGCACCTGCTATACAAGCAGCAGCATTTATGATGAAACAAGGTCTTAAGTAAATAAATGAATGTCATGCAAGCTACAAAACACGATAGCTCGTCATTCTTCCGAACAAATTGCAACGCAAAGATGATCCCATGAACACAAGGCTAAAAGATGCTACGACTACATGATTCGTCTGCAGGCGAGTTCAACTGTGGAAAAGACACTGCAGCAGTGGTCATGGTACTGTAAACATCAGCACGGCTGAGATTGGAGGCAAGTGTGAATGTGACTCCGATAATGCGCGAGCATGCGATCCACGCGCCCCCAGCGTGTGCTCCGCGCCTCCGTTGTGCACCAGTGCAGATTGGACCGGCAGATTTACAGCCTACGTAATTTACTTTGGAAGTGACAATGAACACTGGACTTCATAAAAGCCATCCGCCTGTGAAATTAAACTCGATAGTGTCGCCAAAATGCTCTCAAATGAACTCACTATGAGGACATGACACATGGCTGTATCGCCAAGGGGATGGCAAGTCCTACACAGGACCCCGTTTGCATTTAAACAGCGTGCTTGGGAAATTCCCGAGAACGATATTGCTCGAGGATTTGCTAAAGACGCCACAGTCTTTGCCGAGAGCTCCGCTGAAGTGGAAACCCTTCTTGTTGGCGTTGTGGTGGCGCTCACAATGCTGGGTAGACGTAGGACCCCGAGTAGAGCCCGGGAATGATATTGCTGTGCTGCTGCCTCCTCGATTGAGGCGAGCGCTCAGTCTCATCCCTCAGGTCTCCCAGCACTGTGAAAACAGATTTAGAAATGCCATTCGAATCCTCCCATTGTTGATTCTCATATTGCAACCAAAAAACTAAATAAATTAGTTTTTCAATTATAGGCTTTGCCGAAATACAGTACTTCACCAGACTGGTGAATGGAAACCATCCGCCTGTGAAATTAAACTCGATAGTGTGACCAAAATGTCCTCCAATGGACTCATGAAGAGGTCACGGCTGCACATGGCTGTACTGCCAAGGGGATGGTGAAGTCAGGCAGGAGAGCAAACACATTGGAGAACATTATAATAATAATACAATAAATGTTCTCCACTGCCCTCTGCTGACAATGCAGCCCCACAGCAGACTACAATGCCTGTTTCATGCATGGTGGTCACCCATCCAAGCACTATCCAGGCTCAAACCTACTTAACTTCTGAGATCTGAAGAGAGTGGCAAAATTCCAGGTGATTCGGTCATAGGCAAGAGCTTCTAGAATCATAATTTCACCTTCATCTACGAGTATTTTGTACAAAGTGATGCAAAAGTACAGCAAGAGCCAAGCAAATATATGCACTGCGCGTTAAACTTTTTCCACCGCCCCTACCCAGATCATCTTCATCGTGGCTACTCGACTCAATGTAGACCCCGGAACCATTGCAGACGGGACAAGGTAGCCTCTTTGTCCCGCTGTCCCAATGTCTCTCTGATGTCCTGGCTGACCGCAGAGAGCATGACAACAAATACAACATCAAGTTCACAGCACTTGTCAGCAACTCTTATACTTCAAACTGATGATTTGCACACTGATAAGGCACTACATTAAAAACATATCCTGCAGTGTTGAATTTCAGGAATATCTGCTTCAAAACAATACGCAAATTAACATTGACAGCACTAGTCTTTCCTGTATAATAAATAAATACAATCCTGGGGGGAATTGCATGTTAAGGCATTTGAATGACAGAAAGGTTGCAGTCTTCACTATCTCAAGGTCTTTTAAAACAAGAGCTATGAAAAACTACTATAATCGTTAGCCACGATCAATCCACTGCTGGATGAAGGCCTCCCCATGCTCTGACCATCTCTCACGGTGCTGTGACGTAACAATCCACCTTGCACTGCCACACAAGATGATTTCATCACTTCACCTCGGTGGCTGATGTCCTTAAGGCAATTTTACTAGGGCCTATACAATTACTCTCCCAAACTGCTTCATAGGGGTGCTGCAGGGGCCAGTTACTAAGTGACAAAGCACATTAAATGTAGATGAAATTGCATAATTCACCTTTTGAAGAACACCCCGGGCAGGGATGGTCACTCTCAAACAATTTTCCAGACGGTCTTCCTGGAGGGAAACTTTTGTAATCCACACCTAGGAAGAAACGCAAATTAGGCACCAGGCTTTGGGACATAAGGGGGGCAAGCCAAAGACCAAGCTGACCCAACCTTTTAATCGCTTACAGTGGAATGCCACGTAAACTGTCAGACCTATAAATGGGCAGCTCGATTGTCTGAAGTCCAAGAAAAACGTCCACCGTTTGTTGACCTACTTGGTTCTTTAGGAGGTTGCGTTTCTTACTTGGCATCGATTTATTTGGCACATTCCAAAAAAAATACCTAATGTTGTTTGGCTTCCAGTGCTGCTGGTACCGCTGTAGGGTCCGGTGAGCAGGTGGTCGCGTGAGTGATGCCCCCGCGTGGCCGCTCGGCGTGGGGGAGTAGCCCAAGGCGGGGAGGCTGTGGGGGTCCCCACCGCTTCCTCGTCGCCTTCAGTGGGGGAAAGGGATTGGAGGGGATGTGAAACGTGTGGGATCAATAGTTTACTCTCTATGTCAGGAAGGTATTTTATTTTTGCTTAGACACGTGTGTGGCGCCTCTCTGACACAATTCTGCCACGCAAAGCGCCATCGTCATGTAAGTACTCAAACATAAAAATATAAATTTCTATACAATGAGAAAAAATATATATATACACTAACTGTTCTCAGCATGTTTAAGGAGCCAAATTGTGGCTGTATTATTTTAAATAGCGTCTGTTGCATGTGATACGAGAATGAATAAGTGTTCAGTAAGTAATGAAACACTGCACAAGCTTTGCAAACGCTGTTGAACATATGACGGTGTGACAGACAAAGGAAGCATAGTGTACAACCATTGTTATTCTATACTCTTTGGTTCTTTCGGTAAAGGCACGTAGGCATAAAATAAATCACGACGTTTCGGCCGCAACACAAGCGTCCGTCATCAGGTGTGACCACAGCAAGAAACAATTGCTGAAGTGGGCAAAAGTGGTGCTTGTATCAAGAGGCTATATCGGTAAGAGGGGGGGCGGAGCCAGGGAGGAGAGATAGAGAGGGTGGGGGTGTGGGGTAGGGGGAATGGGGTGCTGCAAGCATGAGAACGCCGGGGCTGGGAAGTAAGCGGGGCTGGGGGTAGGAGAAAACGAGCACGAACCAGTCAAACGGCTCTCCCTAAAACCTTCGGCTGCTAGACCACCCAGATTCTATGGTCTTCCTAATATCCATAAAGAAGGCACTCCACTTCGGCCCATCGTTTCCACTATCAACTCACCTACCTACAAGCTGGCCTGTTTTCTGTCTGATACCTTGTTTCCATTCACTGGCAAGACTACCTCAGCAGTACATAATTCAGCTCACTTGGTCTTTCTAATGAAGGGCATTTCACCATCCCCAGATGATTTTCTCGTCAGCTTTGATGTGGTTTCTCTGTTCACCAAGGTTCCAGTGCCTGACACCTGAGCAATAATTGAAGATTTAGTCCAACATGGACCAAACCCTGATGTTCCTACTCTGGCTAGGCACTGCCTTACCAACACTGACTTCACCTGGAATGGTACTTTCTACAAACAAGATGAAGGTACCCCCATGGGTTCCCCCTTATCACCAGTGATAGCGAATGTTTTCATGGATAAATTTGAAACAGATGCCATCCAGACATCCACCCTACGTCCTTCCCTGTGGAAGAGATATGTGGATGACACTTTCGTCATTTGGCCACATGGCCTGCCAGCATTGAACCAATTCTCAACCACATTAATTCCATACACCCATCCATCAAATTCATCATGGAAGTGGAGAAGGATGATAAGCTACCATTCCTAGATGTTTAGTTTGAGAAGAGACCTGATGGCTCTTTGGGACACTGTCTACAGGAAAGCCACCCACACAGATTCCTATCTGAAACCTGATTCCCACCACCATCCGGCACCGAAGAATTCCCTCATCAAAACACACCATAGTGCCCACTGCATTTCTGACCAATACCACCGAACCAGTGAACTGGAACACGTACACCAAGCCCTTAAGATGAATGGATTTTCGGACCGCATCATCCGCAAAGCTGTTTCTCCAACCATGGAGAAACAACCCCCTGAGACGCCGATCAAAACACCACGTTACCATACATAGCAGGCGTTACCAAAAGGATTGCCAAAATCTTAAACAAACACAAGATCCAGGTCCGATTCAGTACAGTGCACAAAATCCGTGATCTAATCCCATCTGTGAGGATGTAATTCCTGACATGCAATATCCGGGAGTCTACAAACTAAGTTGCTCCTGTGGTGATTGTTACATTGGGGAAACGAAACGGCATGTGTCGGACCGTGTTCGCGAGCACAAGGCAGATCTGAAACACGGCAGGACTAATACCTCTGCCGTAGCTGACCATTGCTATAACGCTGTGGGCTCTCATGATATTGTTTTTTCCAAGACCAAGGTGCTCTGCAAACCTACCGGCTACTATCAAAGATTTGTTCAAGAAGCCATCCATATATATAAACACAGACATGACTTCAACCGAGAAGATGGATACAAATTGAGCAATCATTGGAAGGCTGTTATTAACCAGGTAAAACCTTAACTGCTTTATAGTTTGCCTTCATATCTGCATCTCCAGTTTTCTTCAGCCTCCTACCCCCAGCCCCGCTTACTTCCCAGCCCCGACATTCTCGTGCTTGCAGCACCCCATTCCCCCTACCCCACACCCCCACCCTCTCTATCTCTCCTCCTTGGCTCCACCCCCCCTCTCTTACCTATATAGCCTCTTGATACAAGCACCCCTTTTACCCACGTCAGCAATTGTTTCTTGCTGTGGTTGCCACACCTGATGACGGACGCTTGTGTTGCGCCCGAAACGTCGTGATTTAATTTATTTTATACCTACGTGACTTTACCGAAAGAACCAAAGAGTATGGATCCCTGCAATCATGAAAACTTCAAATCTAGATTGACATTGTCATTCTATATAGAGAAAGTCTTGGTTATCGAAAATGATCAAATCAGATTAAAAAATTAGATTAATATGTTATATATATCTTCCCACCCACACATGCTGAAAGATGTAACTGTTTTAATAAGATGCACATAATATCGGTGCCCTTGTGTTAGCAGAAGGGCAGCTTCTGTAGCTGTTCTTCACCCATCTGGATATTCTTATCAATCCAAAAAACAGTGGGGGGGGGGGGGGGTTTCTGCCACCACTTCCAATTGGGCCTCTCATATACTGTTGGGCTGAAGTGGATCTGTGCCACTGCACTCACGGTGCCGCAGGTCAGCCAGGGAGAGGGTGGCTCGAGAAGAGCGCAAGCGGGGGGGAGTCCACGGTTCTGATCGCGGGACGCTTTTCACCTCTGGCCATGCGACATTCTTACTTCTTCTCCTCCTGGAACGTCGGGAAAATTGATTACGAGCGCACTTATATAAATCACCTTGCCTTTGTCTGAGAACCAAGCTTAAATAATTAACGTGCAGTGGTGGTGCGCGTGGTGTACGAATTGCTGATCAAAACAGAGGCACATCAACGTGTGTCTGTGTTAAAGGGTACTACAGTATTGTGATATAGAACATGATGACTTGCACGATGTCAAAAGTAGCGTCTCCGGCACAGCGGGAACATTGCATTGATCTGTGGTGCGTTAAAAGCACTATAAGACAATAATAGTCTTATAAATGAGGTCATATTGTTATTTATTTAAAACCTACTGCCCATAAACTGTTATGTACATTGTGAGCAGTTAATGTTATGGTCTGGGTCTAAAAAACATAACTTTATGATATTCTTGGTTCTATCAGTAAAGTCACGTAGAAGGGAAACAATAAAATAATAAAAATAAATAAAACAATAAAACGTGACTTTACCGAAAGAACCAAGAATATGAATCCCTGCAGTCACGAAAGCTTTAAATCAAAATATACCTTTATGATGTTATATAAACATAAACAAACAATTAGTGTTTATTAAACCAATATTGTTTAAAGTTATAAATCAGCCATAATGTAAAAAGTGGGCACAGCGAGCTTTGAATTTTTGAACTGGATGGACGAGTGGCTGCAAGCACCCTGTCATCACGCGACAGCCCGATGCCTCGGCCGTAGAGAAGAGATGGCTTACGGGCCTACGGAGAGGCGACTCAGGTTGGGGTAGGCCCCCTCAGACGGGGTTCGTTTCGCTCGGGGTGTGACGCCCGGCTCCCTTGCCTCCACCTCCTCGCTGGGACCCCGCAGCACCGATCCCTCTGCTGCCGCGAGGTCGTCGCTGTGCTGGCGTTCGCACGGCCGCGACGGTGGGTCGCCATCCTCGCTCTGCAGCCCATTAACCGCCCGGCTTCACACGCAGCAAGGAAAACGCACTGCGTCAGCACGACTACTGGCTCTGGCATCGACACTTATTACAGTTCCTGCTTGACAGTCTTGACTTGCTAATCCGCGAATTAGTTATTTTCTTTACAAGAAGTGAGGATTCGTTGGAGTAAAATGCCTATATGTTTTCAGGAAAATAAAGTTATAGGAAAAATGTGACAATAGTAATTAAGGAATAAATCTGAGACCTCAAAATGAAATAAAACTATTTTCATTGGTGGTGCACTGCGTCAGCACGGCTACTGGCTCTGGCATCGACACTTATTACAGTTCCTGCTTGACAGTCTTGACTTGCTAATCCGCGAATTAGTTATTTTCTTTACAAGAAGTGAGGATTTGTTGGAGTAAAATGCCTATATGTTTTCAGGAAAATAAAGTTATAGGAAAAATGTGACAATAGTAATTAAGGAATAAATCTGACACCTCAAAATAAAATACAACTATTTTCATTGGTGGTGCTTTAATTTTTTTCCTTTTCTGCAAAACAACATGGGTATTGAGTGCCTTCCCATAAAGGGTTTAGCTGTGTTCTTCCCTTGATGTAATACATTTAATATTTCAGGTTTGCGAGCGTAGAATAATTATGCAGTATTTCGTTGTAGTTTTAGTTAATATCCAAATAACATGAAAAATAATCAAACACCCACAAAAAACATTCCATTCTCCTTAGAAATAATTTCCAAACACATGCATTTCATGTGGTGGGCTCAGCACAAAATTTTATTTTTATTCATGAATGCCCATTAGCTATTGGTGACTGAGAATAGTAAGAATTTTACTAAAGCAGTATCCTTTGTTAACTACACATACATTATAGAGGTTGATGGTTTTGTTTCCAAAAACTGATTAATGAATGATGGGCTGCCATTCTTGGTCACTGCAGCTCATTCCGAAACGAATCAACGTGCAGAATGCATTAGTGTCGGTTATCCAATTACCAGACTCATTCAGCCACCCTTCTCATATGACCCATGAGGCTACCATGGAATGATAGCAAACAACACAGCAGCTGATGCAAATGCACAACACGAATGGCTGCTGTGTTAAACTGTTAAATAACACAAAACATTTAACATATTATTCATACTGAGACACTCAAAATTACTGCCTAAAAATACTATTAAATAAATATTTAAAAAACCATAGGCATGGTATTTTTAATTCCACACCAAAATTGATGCAGCCCTTGTTCACATATTTTTTTTTTCTAATAAAAGGAGAAAAATTATCAGGCAGGCTGCACTTATCACACATGTGGGTGTATACAGCACTTACTCTGTCACCATCATGTGATCACTCAGAGCAGAGCAGGCCTTCAGACTCTCAAAATAGCGTGCGATAATTGGTGCCTGCTCCATTGATGCCATTCCATACACGGGGATATCAGCCTCGGCCGCGAGCTGCCTCGCTCTCAGCGTCGCTCCACGCATGCAACGTGTGGATAGGGCTACGTCTCTCGCCTCCGGACAAAAAGGGCGACCTTCGACTGCAATCACATGACGAGGATGCCGGCCAGCCGTGCGAGCGAGCGAGCGAGCGAGCGTGTGTGTGTGCGTGCTACGGCGCGGCTGGACTGAGTGCCCTACTGAGCATGTGCGAGGCTCCACAAAGGCAGAAGCCACTGGATCACTGGATAAAACCCGCAGCCAATGAGCAGTGCCTTGCTCGGGGCACAATTGGGTCCGGATTAAGGCCCGTCAGCCACGCCGTCAACTGCCGTGCGCTCGTTTTCGCTGGTGTCAGATTAACCCCTCGCATGTCTCCTCTTGTCATTGTCCCAACATCATTTTAGCGACCTAACTACGGGTATTTTTAAGATGATTTGTGTCATAAGCAAACATTTTAAATTAACACACATGCACTCATGTTCTTTTAATAAAGGACAAGGCAAGACATGTAAATTATACCCAGACCAAAGTACTGTACGTTACTTGTTTTTCAGACTCAACAAAGATTCAGAGACAAATCCTGGGGAGGTTTTAATGTCACTAATAAATGTACTTGTCATCAAATTGTACACGCGGAATTAAAATAATCCTGATGAATAGTGCTGACTGTAATAATCATTTTCATGGGTCATCACACCTCATATACGATGCCCATGAGCTGAAAAAATCAAATAACACAGTCCTCTCAACAGAACTGACAAAGAGACACATTATAGCTTACATATTTTTTTAAATATCTGCTCTATAAATATTCATGAGGCAGAAAGCCCAAGACATTGTTTAATCAACACTGTTTACTCAGTTCCCTGAAAGAATCTTGAATTCTGCATTATTTAGCATTTCAGGGGTGTATTATATCCCAGATTGAAATTAAAAGAAACACTTGTGATCATGGAATCGCACATTACTCGACAGTGCTAACAATAACAACACTGCAAACAGTTGGGTATTGATCACAGACTGTCAATATATTTCAACAGACAGATGGATGCGTAGCTACAGTGTAGAAGTGATTTGGTGATGCTTCATTGGCAGTGGTGCACAAGCACACGAAACAAAAACACGAATTCGACAATAAAACCGGCATAAAATGTGTATATATAAAATCTGCGACGCTTTAGGCAATGATCCTTCTCCAGGCAATGGCCCTGCTGTGAAGAAGAGCCATCACCCGAAATGTAACCAAATATATATACTTTGTTCTTTGAAGGCAGTGTTATTGAGTTTTTTTCAATTCGCAAATAAGTCAGGCGTGACAAGTGTGTTTGGCCTACTCACCTCCACGCTGCGTTCCCCCTGGGATGTTCTCCGTCAAGGCCGCCCAATTCTGCTTTCTTCAGTGGACGACAGGGAAATCCATCCAGACTGCAGACGTCTTCACGCTCCAAATCGTCCAATCTATCTCTACCTAAAGAATCAGTCAAGTGAGGCGTTATTTTAGAAACGTCCCTCTGCGACAAACGCTGCAATATTAAAGTGCATTACACGTAGATTTTTTTTTGTCAGTCTAATGCTGGATCGGGGTCTCCCCACGCCCGTGTGGGTAGTGAGGGTTATTTGACCACATTTCACCATGGTAGTCAGTGCGGGTTGGCTAAGGCACTAAGCATAGTCGTGGAAGCATCGAAGCAATATACAACAGATGTTGCTGTACTGCCCTCTACTGCTCACCACATAGTGCTCAAAGCTGTTTGTGCATGGTGCTGTTACCCATCCAAACCCTATTCAGACTCAACACTGTTTAACTTCAAGATTTTAAGCATGAGTGTTCACGTCTGGCATGTGCATTACGCAGAGTAGTGAGCACAGACATGTGTTTGTGGCAGTGTGCTATGAACCTGGCAACCTCAGTTAGATTATCGGCCACAACTAACATCAGTGGCAATTATCTGTATCAGTCCTGGGCTTGGTCGTCTCAGCCTGAAATGAGTACCCAGAACGTTATCTCAAATATCAGCACTGGGGAGACCATGCTTGCCAGGCACGGTACTGGCCACTCTATCCCCTTATGTGCCATGCCAACAACAATAGGTGCTCGCTAACAGGACGCGCTCCAATATTCTGTGATCGTTTTCTTTGTTGGTGTGTTTTCTTTGTGGGTGTATGTAGCCTGCGGGTCCTCACCCTGGCAGCCTCGCGAGTCCCAGTCGCTCGCTGCGCTCGCGTTCCACCGGCTTGAGGACGCGCTGGGTCTGCACGCCACGCGCAGTCCGTGCGCTCCCACCGCCTCGCTGGCCTCTGCGTCGGACCAGACCCCGCGTTGCCGCGCAGGCTCCGCCGACACCGGTGCAACAGCTGGGGCGTCGCTCTCACACTCCTCGGGCAGAGACGGGTGGGAGCTGCTGCTCCTGGGGGGAATTAACAAAGCGGACGCTCGTGCTGTTGCCGAAGGCGCACGGGCAGGATTCTCTGCGGCAGTGATGAGGGCAATGTAACAATTCGTCCCCCCTTGCGGTGCGATCGTCACGGCTGAAGTCACGATTCACTTCGACTTTAAATAATCTTAGGGCAACAAATTAACAGGTCCCTGCAGGGTGGGCTGGTAGGAACATTGGAATTTTGCGCAATTTTATTTTTACACCCCAACAGCACGAGATTTCACTTCGTTAAAGTATTGAAAGGGGACGGACGGACGGACACATTAATCTATTGCAGGCTGGTACACTCAGTTTACAACTTCGTTCCTACCAGTAAAAGTATCATTGGCATTGTGCTCTCTTACAGCACAAGGCTATCATGAAGGCACACTATTTCACAGAAGATTATAGTATTTACTAGTTTTATAGGAGGAAGATGTTGCTTCGTGGCTTTACCTAATTCATTTGTGATTACTATTCTAATGTGGCAAATTCGGAATATGTCACAGGATCTTTAAAGTGTATTGTGAAGCAAATGGTACGCATTTTGGGTTAATATGCCTGCACGATTAAGTAGGGTGGATGCTACAGAAGTTCATACCAAACCTTTGCAATAAGCAAACACAACTGCTCGGCTTGTTTCACCGACCATCCAGTGAGCAGGAAGCTCCTGCCCACTGGTGGCAGAAACTGAAACAGCAGCTCTGTTACCTTGCAGTGAGACGCAGACTCTCAGCCAGACTCGAGGCCCTGCCAGTTATCCTCCCGTTCTCTGAGCCAACGAAACCGCTGTCTGTCTCGGGAGAAATCACGCGCTCCTGCAAAAGTGTTGAGCAAACAGGCTCAAACCACAGCTGCACATACAATACAATGTTCATTTATACACAGTACAATTTAAATTTATATAGCATCTAAATGTGATCGAAACGCTATTCAGAAAGTAAGCGTATATATTTCGGAGAGAAACATTTATAGGCCAATGAAAAGGTATTTATCCTGGACTTGAACAGGAGCAGGCAGTCAACAACATGAATTACATAGGGGAAGGGATTTCCTGCCTCCATAATTTCAGACTATGGAAGCAGCAGAGGAGAACAGCTGTCACATGGCTATCACGCGTAGGTGCAGGGTTAGCATTCAACTGCACACATCTGTATGTGCACTGTGACCTCAGGGATTCAATCTCCAAGGCAAGCCTCGACTCGCCAAGAGAAGTAATGCTTGTGTGCGCACATCTAAACTAGTCTCATGCAGAGGTGAGATTCAATTATGAAGGTGCTGTTGGCACATTAGTTTCTTGTACATTTTACAGAGCACTAATTGTTCAATAGTAATTTCTCTTAGGGTTTCTTCATCTAGCACAATTTGATGATGCAATTATATATATATTTTAAACTACTCGGGAAACATATTTCAGAGATGACTTAAGTAAAAAAAAGGAAAATGCACCTCTTTGATGGAATGTCTGTGTCGCTGGAAATTATCGAAGCTCCCTTGCAAAGAGATTCCACTGCTGGCAAGACTGATATGGCTTACGTGCCGGGATATTTCTCCAGCTTCTGTAGTCTTTTGATTCTGAGAACAATCACACGCACTCGGTCAGTGGAAATAGTGGAGTAAGCCATCCAATGACATCAAGACAATCTCTCCAGGAAATCATCAAACAGTAAGGTGAAAAAATTCTCACCGGATGCTCTTTAGACTGCATGTCTCTTTGGTGTCTGTGCTCAGCAAACAGAGAAGGTGGCTCCACAGAATTAAACATCACATTGAGAGGAAGAGGAGGCTGCTGACTTGGCTGGAGAGGCGAGTGCCTTTTCAGACGCAAAACAATAAGCAAAGTTACATTACATCTAAGAGTAGCGTCACATCCTACATCACCAACTTAAAACTCACAAACAACGTGACCTTGACAAGACGCGACGTACGGTTGAGGTGTCGGCGCCCTCCTTCCCGGGCCTCCAAACAACTCATCCTCCTCCCGTCCATCCATGTCTCGACTCCGACACGTATTGCTTTTGGAATCTTCCTTCGCGTTGGCCGTGGACCTCTGCGATCGGTCGTCCGTTTTGCCTTGAGCCCAGACGTCGGGGTGCTGCGCCCGTTCACGGCGCTGCCTTCCCGCTGGTGCTGCAACGCTGCGATGTTGGCGCGGCCCTGCCCCGCCCGTTGCTTGGGAGCCGCGGTGGTAACTGCCCACCACGGGAGACATCATCGTGCACATGCACAACAAACAGCCCTTGCTTACCACGCGCCGTAAACCCTGTATAAATCTCACAGAGCATGGAGGTTAATGATAAGCGTTTGTTTGCACGTTGCTAGGTTGGCCTTGTAACCACATTCTATATACAGAGCACTCAATCTTTCACAGGCACAAAGAAATGCTAAGCAAATCTTTACATCCTACACTGCTTGTTTACTTTTGACTAAAATTAAGAGTATACTCTACCTTGCATACATTTTCTCAACAATTGCAGTTTCAAACATTTAATCAGGAAATCATTCATTACACATGTACTGCAAAGTAGTCAACGCAGCGGCTTTGGTGTAATCATATGGCGAGGTGAGAAAAGGGTCAACGTTTGCGAACCTCTGTGAGCTCAGCCCTGACGAGTCTCCACCGTGGGCCGATCCCCTATCCTCCTCCATCGTATCTCCTCCTTTATCACTCTCCCCGGGCTCGGTGTGTGTCTCGCTTCTGCTGCGCTCTTGATCTCCCATTCTCTCCTCCATGCTCTCCCTCCCCACCTCATTGTCGGTCTCACTCCCTTCCACGAGGTCCAAGGTGATGCGTTGGTGGATAACCACGGACAATGGACTCTGTAATGGTCACAGTGCCGGTGGCAACTCAACGGGTAAAATAAACACGATTTCTCACACAGCTATGCAGTGCAGCATTGTTGTCCTGTACATATATGCGCCTATGTCTATACTCCTCTGTTTTTAAAAAGCCACACTAACCAGCGTGCTGAAGTATGGTAAAAAATACACTATGACCCACATGGCATGGAAAGGTCCTCCATCCAGCAAATGATTGACAAAGAATTGTAGGCTTACATCTGCGACATTCATCTCAGAAATATTGCTTAAGTTTTTTATATCATCAAAACTTTTTTTTACGTCAGTAAACATTGCATTCACATCAACCCGCATGAAAACGTCTCAAATGCAACCCATACTGTTTTAAATGACATCACGCAGAACTACACTTTAATCAAGCAGATTATTTATCAGCAAATCCACGACACAGTAAAAGCGGTTGAATAAAATAAGAGTTGGAGCGAAGTGTCACGCGATCATCTCACGGTATGATTCCACCATGAGGCGCAGCGCTACCTCAGAGTGGCTGCTGGTGACACGCTGCATCTTTACAGCGGTGGCCGACAGTGACGTGGAGGCCGGCGCTGTGTCGGGAGACGACGGCCTGCATCGACTCTCGTCCATCTGCTCCTTGATCTCCTCCAGGCTCATCCCCAGCTGAAAAATCGCACCTTCCACCTCGCTGCCCAATAAGAAAGCGAAGGGTTACATGCCAGCACACGTAACCAAAGAGTGAAGCCTCAACAGCAGGTGTTCATTGACCTCTACGTGATCAGCACACTTGATAACAAATACACACAATGGGCATTCTTCGACAATACATTTGCAATAAACGCAAGTAACCAATGAATGATGGGACTATCACTGGGAGAGTGTAAAGACTGGCATTGCAGCACTCTTGGTGAGTTTATGTGCATACCGCCTGGGTTTAGGGTGAGCTACAATGTAACTCAATCTGCAATGTTGCAGCTGTTTCCCCCACCCCCCTCCCCAAACTAATTCCTGGGCTCACTTAACAGTAACACAACAACAACATCTCGCCACGGTGGCACCGATGTTAACTACCTCGCCTGATATATGGCAGGTTATGGGTTTGATCCAGACCCTGACACCTGTATATTTAGAGTTTGCCTGTCCTCTCTGTGGTCGTGTGGATTTTTATCTGGGTCCTCCGGTTTTTCCCACCACATTTAGAATCAGCGTTTAGAGTATTTGGCTGCTATACATTTACACGTGATAAGCCACTTGATTGGACTACCATTTGTGGTCAGGTCGCTTCTGGAAAAGAGCTATATAGCTCAGTGGGCCTTACTTGGTAAATAAAAAAAAAATGTTTCCTAATTGTGTACTGCAATACCTTGCTTGGCGAAAGAGCTTCCCCTGCCTCCCATTCCAACCAAACGGCATGTATACACTGCCACACATGAGTGACCACTCTCACAGGGCTACACTGAATCGGGGCAATTATGGGTAATGCTCCGACATTAAAACACTGTCCATCACTAGAAAATAATCTAACCGCTTACAGTTTTTAACATCGTTGAGAAAACTCCCTTAGCTGTGTGCAGCTAAATTATACAGTAGTGTCATTTTACCATTTTAAATAAATAATTGTCGTCTCTTTTTTTTATTTGACAGAACAACCTGTCACGAATGATTTTGCATATTTTTTTTGTTTGATTGCCTTCCGTACAATGGAGTACAGTGACTAAAAATACCAATTAAAGAACATCTATCAAACAACGAGCGCACACATGCGCGAATTTCAAACCAGTCATGCGGTCCTTACCGGTGTGGATCAAAGTGTCCGGCGGAGGCCGTTCCACAGCGATGGGTCTGTAATTGCAGGGCTCGGTGTTCCTCCTTCCGAGCCATGTACTGCCGCTCGAGGCCATCCTGGTCCCTCCTCAGCTGTTCAAAGGCCTGGTGAATAAACCCAGAGGACTTGTGTATGTGTGTATGTATGCATGCTGGACTTCTTTCGTACCGTACGCAGCCAACCGTGCTAGTCGAGGGTGTGGGGAAAGGCCAACAAACTAAACACAAAAAGCAGTTCTAAAGAAATTCGTTTTCAATCACTGGGCTGCCATCATATTCATTTGTACATTTGTTCATAAATACACACGCTAAAGCGCACTCATGTGCATGTATGCACGAGAGAGCTGGTGCTCTATAAAAGTTGAGAGCTGGTGCTCTATGAAAGTTGAGAGCTGGCACTCTATGAAAGTTGAGAGCTGGCTCTTTTGATGCTTACCTCCTGCTGATTTTCCAATGACAGTTTTCCCGAGTTTAAAAGCTCCTGAAATTCATTGACCTACAAAAGTGCACAACAACAATGCCTGAACAATTAATAAAAATATATATAATTATACGTAAAGTAGAAACACAGTAAAATAGCTGTAATATTCTAGCAGGATGTATAACAATGATCAATATTTAAATCTCATAGTCAATTCATCAGAATAATGTATTTGTACTTTACCCTCGCCATCTACCATCTGCAATTGAGATGCCTGCAGAGGACATCCCTGCAGCGGAATGGTCCTAATCCAATTTGGACTTGCTCTGTACAAATCAATACTCTTTCCCTGGAGTGAAGACCCTTGCCATTAGCTTATCCTATCCGATGACAAGCCTTCACATTCCTAACCATTGGTTTCCATTGTACACAGTGCAGGCCCATCCTAAGTTGTGAGCTAACAAAGCCTTCATATATGTGTAACACGCTTTCCCTGATAATGATACAGCTAAGTTACAAGGGTATATCAGTTTAAAACCAGTGGGGTGTTTACCCAGGATTAAATCAGATGTTTAGGTGGACTGAGATGATGGGCTCAGGTTGGTAACCGATGACTGCACGAACACACCTTTAATGAAATCTGGGTATTCACTTAATTAGAAAAAATGCACTTCTGAGAAGTAACAATTGTAGTTTAACATTCAATGACCCCACTCTTTGCAGGTGATATAAAACTTGAGGCCCAAATGTGAATAAGATCCTACTTAAGTGACTTCAGAAACAGTTTGGTGATGCCAACTTCCAAGACCATTACTGAAGCATCATTGTGCACATATGACTTCAAGATTGCAAAATGGAAAGTTCTACATATCACAAGACAGCAAAGGTACAAGTGGAATACAACTGAAATAAATAAAATAGTTTGGTGTTGTCAATAGAAGTACAATATATGAGTTGTACAACACTCACCACTGGGACTAGACACTGATAACATGCAGATAAATGCAATTTCAATTCTAAGCAAGACCACTTGTCTCAACAGAAGCCAATTGCCGGAAGGTGTCAAACCAGCTCTGTTGAACTATGAGCGGCATTATAAATGGTAGATGCTAACAAGCATGCGCATAGCTACTGACTGTGGAAGCCGTTAAGTTAAACCCACCTTGTCCCTGAAACATAATGCTTGGCTGGCCAGCTCCCGTGTCAGGCACATCCCTGGGGTTGCCTCCTCTTCATGCATGGAACACCCTGCACCACCTGAGTCACCATCTGAAATTCAATCATTCTCCATTAATGGCACTGCGATTTCCTTGATTGTGTGTTTTCATTAAACTTAAGAGCTAGGACCTATTTTATTTATAAATTTCGAAACACATTAACTTCCTCTAGTCAAAATTAGCATTCAATTAAAGAAAAGCAATAACAGCTGCTGAACCCAATATTCCTCCAAGGCCATTTTCAGGTGATCAAAAATACCCACGATTGGTGAACTGTGAATCCTGTACAATGTAATCCATCAAAGTGGTTTGGTGGGTTACCGTCTCAAGCATATTTTAAATAGCATCACTTTAGTTTAAACATTTTGTTGGCATCAGTGTCCTGACAGCACTGCAGTTCGTAATGGCTGCTATGTTACCTACGCTTTCTGCAGACTGCCGTGAATATGGACGCATGGCTGAAATGTCCTTTGACATTTTATTTAAGTGTGATACAGCCTGCGTTTCCTCCATACACTGCACCTGGATGGTCTTGACTTCCTGGACCTGGCTGAATGAGCCACGCCTGCTGCGGTTTTGGGATGGTGAGGGTTACAGGCCGGCTTGGGGTGTTCAAGGTTCCCACATGAATGGCACTGCTGGCAGGTTTTGGTGCATCGGCAAACAGTGACACCTACACACATGCCATGGACATGATACGCTTCAAACAAGCTGGCCGACCAAAGCATCAATCGACGGAAAACACCAAATGTCACAGCCACGTAACACACATCCAATGCACTAATCCAGGGGTTGGCAACCTGTGGCTCCCGAGGCGCATGAGGCTCAAGGAGCGCTTCGTAACATTATTTATTAAGGACAACCACCGTCTTTGTATTCACATGCACTGCGGCTCTGAAAATATTTAGTTTTTTACCAAATTCGAAAAAAACGTCTCGTCTTGTCATTTTGGTTGCCGACCCCTGCACGAGTATAAGACACCGATCACTACACCGAGCAACATATCCACTGTTACTCAAACCTAATGCACGCATGCCGTCCAACATTTCCATTCCAAGAAAGGTTGAACTTTAAAGGCAATTGGCTATCGTGTAATTTTTGCTGCTACAGTGACGGAAATGATGTGGAGGGGCCTTCACCCAGCATGGAATGTCACGGCTGATAATGTTGGCGATGCATTTCATGAGCAGGATCCAAAGTGTATTTTTAAAAGCCCAACATTAATTTGAATCTAGGCAATGCTCTCTGTTTGAAACCCCCAGTGTATTTTTAAAAGCCAAACATTAATTTGAATCTAGGCAATGCTCTCTGTTTGAAACCCCCATGTCGTTGTTAATTAATTTTCTATAAACAAATCAAAATATATTAAAAACAGTGTAAACCAAAAAGCCCCTTTCTCAGTGCGGCTGTCACACTTAAGCAAACAAGTTCTCATGCTGGGCGAGCCCACGCTTGCCCCAACCACGAGTTCCTTTTGAAGGAACCCGTGGGGTCTTGTGTTAGGCTCTGAAGAAACTGCGCAACTGCACCTGGAGAGTGCAACGCTAAGAGCGTTGAGCAACAAAGACCAGTGGTTATTCAATGAAGACCACGTGGCACTGCTGGCATGTGGCGAGATGTTAACTACCTCGCCTGGTATGCAGGTTATGGGTTCGATCCCAACCCTGATGCATGAAAATATTTGGAGTTTGCAAGTTCTCCCCGTGGTCATGTGGATTTTTCTCCAGGTCTTCCGCTTTTTCCCTTCACATTTAGAATCAACCTATGTTTAGAGTATTTGACTGCTATACATTTCCACGTGATAAGCCACTTCGATGAGGTATCATTTGTGACCAGGACGCTTCTAAAAAAGAGCTATATAGCTAAGTGGGGCCTTACCTGGCAAAATAAAAAAAAAATTTGTTCAATAGTTAAAAAACTCACCTTGGCACCGAGCCGGAGGTGGTCGATAGTATTTTCGGCCTCGGCGTACTTCGTCAGTAGCTTATCATAGTCCTCCTGGTGGTGTGGGGTACACACATGTCGTGGGGGAGGTGGTGGGGGAGGTGGTGGGGGTCACTCAGGACAATGGGAGGCTCAATTACACTCAAAGGTTTTTACAACAGTTCAAAATTACCATCCCTCCAATTTCTCAATTACAGCCATGTTGGTAAAAAAAGCAACGGGTTATGCTAACAGGAGAAATTACTGGAGAAACATAGTATTAAAATAAACAGAAATGTGTAAGAAAAAAATACAACCCGAGCGTAACATTTGGGAGTAAAAAGGATACAATGTGAACAAATTCATATAATATATTTATGAAATTAACTCACTCAATGTGCATTAAGTCTATGATGCAGGGAAAAAAACTAAACATGCAATTGTATTATTGAATACGGTTGACTGTTCTGTACTCAACGCACAAAAAAAATGTGATCAAACGTTATTACTTTTAAACAAGAGTTTTGGATGATTCTCAAAATATTTAGTAAACTAATTTTAGTGAAATTTTTAATTAAAAGCATTACTCGAAGTCTAAAGAAGTGGTCTTATATTTCAAGCTATATTTACCAAAGCCTTTGACAAAATCACCCAAGATAAGCACAATCTCGGCAGATCTCAAAATCTCAGGTTCAGCCTGGATAGTGACGAGATGAGAGACCGCCATGCACAAACAGGTTGTTCACTGGGCATGCGGGGCCAAGTGGTGGGCCATGGAGGGCAGCACATAAAAAAATACATTATTGTACTGTACTTATATTCTCCCACGTCTATGCTCTCCACCTTCATCAAGCTGCACTCACCGGGCAGGGTGAAGCACGGTCAAATAAATCCTATGGGCTGCATGAAGCAGGAAAGCCCTAATCCAGCAATTAATTTGCAAAAAGAGTTGTACGTGCGCATGTAACACAATCTGGTAGACTCCTTGTTAAAAATCTCGTAGAGAATAATCCACAAACCAGTGGTGCGCTCACCTGCAGCTGCCGCACCATATCTGCGCTTGTTTTAGAGTTTGGGCTTCGGTTGTCGCTGTCCATTGCGGGGGTCCCTTCCTGAGGTTCGGGTGTAACGCAGCGCGTCTTACACGACACCAATGGAAGCTCTGTGCTGTTGAGGACCTCCCGTACGGTTGCAACCAAGGGCTTGTGCGATACAGACCTGGCCAACTTGACACTGGCCTTTGTGGAAGACGGTGATCGATCTACTTTGGTCTTCGCCTTCTTCTGCGACCTAATTTTTGGCTCAACCATTGACAAGTTTGGCAGCGGGTAATGAACTTGTCCTCTCCTCTGTTTCTGGTTATCATCCAGCAATATTGACCTATCAGATGGTGCATTAGCTGCACAATTGTCTGATTTTAATACTGATAGCGTTTGCTTCTTAATGCAAGATATCTGACTGTAAGGGTCTGCGGAATTACACACGCCCATGCCGTTTACATTTGTACCCATCTCAACACTTTCACGGTCAATAATTAAAGAGGTCTGTGCATCTTTGTCAGCGCTGGGGAGCCATTGGTCATGTTCAGGTATAATTTGCATGCTGCCCTCTTTATGGCTTCTATAGAATTCATCTTTGATTAAAAAATCAGCTTGTTTAGCTGCTGCGACAGCATCCACGCTCTCTGTGAAGGAAATTTCGGGCATAGTTTCTGCTTCAATGTAATATCTGGAACTGAGTTCATCCTCAGCAAATGGGTGACTGACTTGTTCAATGGCAGCCTTTGAATTTTGGGCTGTGGGCTCAATTACATCATTACATATTTCCAACTTAACTTCTTGTTCTCTGTGTAACATATCACAAGGCTGCTGTTGAAAGGTAGACTGTGCATGTTGCGCTTGTGCCGTAATAAGTACATGTTCATGGGCTTTGTATTGCATTTCCTGGTCTGAGTGAACAGTGTTTTGTGGTTCATTGGCTGAACCAACACAGACAATTTCATCTTCTAAATTGCAAGTATTGCCACGTGCCTCTGAAGAGTGTTCAATTGTGTCGACTGTATCTGATAAATACTTTCCATCGTGTGGTTCTGTGAGAAACACTTCAGCTCGTATTTGTGAGAAATAAAAATTACTGCTGGGTCCAACAACATCATCATTTGAACGTAACAAGTGCTCCTCTTCGATTACTAAAGCATGCCGTGTTCCCATCTCATCAGCAAGTGAATAACGCAGCCCTGCATTGATATCGCGTGACAATGATTGAGCGTTGAGTCCCTCACGGTCCCCTGTATCATTTTCAAGTGCCAGGTTTATTAGGCAAGTGGACTGTTCCCTTCCACTTAGAGACAACGCTCCTTTCTCATGCAGCTCGGAAAAATGAGCGCAGGACTGCCCTGTACCCGACGTATTACTCGCACTGTTGGGGTTCAAATCCGAACCCTCGTCCAGGTCTCCGTCATATGGCAGGTCCGATTCCTCCTCGCTCGTCCTTCCGCCTTCTTCAATCTCATCGTCATAATCATCCGCAGACTCCATTCCCAATTCTTCATGAAGTGAAGCTCTGTGCTGTCCACTCCCCACATCTCTGGCAGGGCCGCTTGTGCTTGCCATGATGCCTTGCTCTGGGGATACCCTCCACATCCTCCTGGGCGAAATATCTTTGGCGAGCTCTGGTGAGTTTTCACTTTGGAAGGTATCATCTGGGATGTGAAATATGTTAAGCGTAATTAAACAATTCAAAAATATGTATGCAGCTCCAAACATAAAGTATTAAACCTATATATTCCTCGACTACTGAGTTACAGGACAGGTACACAAGATATGATTCAATAAAATGCTTAGTTTTATACACTGACACATATTTGAATTAAGAAATTGTTCTCCAAACCATTTTGTCATTGTAGCAAATCAATTACATATGACGAAACAATATAATTGCCAGCATAATTGCATACTTCAATGCACGTTTATACCATATTTAAGCCAGTGGATAAACAAAAGGTGGATTTAACTAACTGGTATATCATTTTCCTCGTATAAATATCAGCTGTGCGTGCTGCAATCCAAAAACGACTACATGAGTGGATATACACGGCAGTGAAATCATGCACTTGTATAACAACGTGAGGTGCCCACTCACCGTTGCTGATGTTGAGGGTGGCGTCTTCCGCAAGAGACACAGAAATAGCCACTGGATCAGAGTCCAGCAGCTCGCTGATGCGGTAGCTCACATCTTCATCGGCCACTTCGAAACTTTGCTGCTTTTCCAACGACCCCGGCAATGCATCCGAATCCAATAGTTCGCTCACGTGAAAGCTGAGGTCATCGTGTGCTTCATCGGCCGTCGTCCCTTCTGCCGACAGAGCTGCAGCATCCTGAGAATCGGTCGTAGGATAGCTCGTCTCCTCTATGTCTAGGACATCCAAGGGAGCCTGCGAAACAACGTCACCTAAGCCAGGCTTGCGAGGAGGATGCACCTTATCCACAGTCTCTGCGATGTGGCTAAGTAGAACGTTTCCACAAGCTTCGACACAGTATCGGCTCCCTTCCACCATAATAACGCCATCCTCGTCCATGTCTTCCAGAGGCTTGTGGGTTTCATCGTAGGCTTTTTCGCTGGCGTCCAAGTCTGTTCCCTCATTTCCCCCATCGTCGTGGTCCATTTTCATGAAAGGATACAATCCATCGCTCTGCGGGTCAATTAGAACTATGCTATGTCCATTGTTTGTTTAATGGAAATGTACTCTTCACGTGGTTTTTAGATGAACCTTGCAAACAAAAATGAAAATATTGTACGAGCGTTCACAGATAAGAATTTTAAATCATCATCACAGCATCAAATACATATTAAATGCTGGCTGAAAAAAGGCAGGCACAGGATTTTTAAAGTTAATTTGCCTGAGTGGCCTGTGTGGTGTGCGTGCTTTATGACTCATACAGGATACTCTGTATTCAGCTTTGAGGCACTGTCTGGCTTACACAAAAGACGTTTCTAATCCCATGTGCCGTAAATGGATTTAACCCCCTAGGGTCTAAGATAATGTGGGGCCCCTTTTAAATACACGTATGGCTCAATGTCTACAATATTCTACACACAGGAACCTCTTTAGAAGAATACTTTATTCAGCCCCATGGTGCGTTTGGGGTTACAGAGGTTGTTTTCTTTGTGCCATCATTCTGTTAAACTGCATCACCAAGCATCGACAATGAGGGCTTACATAATTAATATACTTGCAATGTGGGACCATGGCATCAAGCAACCAGTAAAAACACTATTTAATAATGTATTAATAAATGCAAGCCCCTTCCTGGCAGTATTTTGCATCAGATGCTTTTCTGTTAGAGGATCCTGGCAAACAATGGTCATGTAATATGAATGCAAAGTGTAACTCGATCTTAAGCCAATTACCCAAGAAAACTGGATGCTTTCCAGATAAGTCCAAGCTGTAATAGGCCCATTTTGGACCAGTATTGCTTCAATTATCCCATGAATTAAAAATGATTTTTCAAAATCAGAAGAAATACTTACTAAAATTGCTTGAAATGTAGCAGTATTTGTCCATGTCACATGAATTAGCATCACCTATTTAAACAATTGTTTTGACGAAGTCATTCAAGAATAAACTACCTCCTTGACAGGTTATAAGTTGCACATTTTGAGAACTAATTCTAATCAGATTTTACATTGATGGTTTCATCAAATAGTTTTCAAACGACTTAAAGCTTTCGTGTCTGCAGGCAATCATATTCTTTGGGTCTTTCATGACTTTACCGAAAGACCCAAAGAATACGTTTTCCAACGGTTGATTTTCTTTCACGTGAATATGGATAATCACAATTTCTGTACATTTCCAAAAAATCCAGATAACTAAAGAAATTACAAAATATAATTCAAGATCTAACATTACTACGTCGCAAAATCAATTTATAGCATTATAAGCCAAGTAGCTTTTATCTGCACAGTTGTATGTAAATGCATGAGGAAAATGTGAACACATATTGAGCCAGAGACAGAATAATTCAGCGTGACCTCTAAAGAGAGTCCACGGAACAGATGGGGATTATTCAGATGCTGTGTTCATAAAAGCTCAGAAATCTAGGCCACCCTGAGCATCTGCTCCCACAGACCTCATTTGCAATGGCATAGGTGGTCGTTGTAAATAGGCATGTTGGTTGCATGGCTTGTCCAACATGTTTAACAGCATTCTGGAGAAGCAGTATAATCATTAATATGAGTAAAGTGTAATGTGATTACCACATAACAGCAGCATTTTAAATGTGATTGTTGTTGCTGGCATGAAAGGCCAAAGGGTGGGTTAGTCTCGCATATTGTTTCTCTGATTTAATTTCATATTCTGCGTACAAAAAGGAACTCCCCTTCTTGCAAAAGAGCCGTTTTACTCAATTGGCTTTCACCTGGTTACAAATGAAGCTCACGTACAGATGACCAAGTAAAGAAAAATATAATAATAACAACAATAATAACAAAAGAGTCCTCAACACTTTTCCAAAATATTTATTCCGGAAAAAAGTTTAAGGCGTCCACTCAGTCAATTTAGCCTTTTCCAGTTACTCTAGTGAGGATCAATGACAGATCAACTCAGTATGTGAGTTAAAACTCCATCCAGAGTTCATTCTGCCAATCATCACCATTGTTTACAGGATTGGTAAATAGGTACCAGAGTGGCGAGCTGCACAAACTAGGTGGGAATTGCCTTACATCAGAGGCACGGTTCGGCCATAAAAAAAAAACCTCTTAAGATTCCTATGACTTAGTGCAGGAAAATCACTAGTTGTTGAGTTTAATAATAACACCGATATCCATAACAGTTGTGTAGAAGTATCTACAATTGCTAATGATCACCAGAAATGGGCATTGAGCAGTATTCATAAATTTTGGAAGACTAATTTGATATTTTAACTTATTTTGAAATACATGCTTAATTGTAAGATTTACAAAAGCAGCAAACGTTCACAATAAACGAGTCAACGCTGTAAATGTATTATCAACAAATAAATACTACATAAGTGGCAGAAAGAGTCCAACTCTTGAATGAGACACTATCTGATGTTACCGTCTCTTGTGGTGTGCTCTTCATATTAAAGCGTCTCTGAACGCCAAGTAATAAATACGATGCCGTATTTTACAGAAACGCATATACTGTACCGCTTTACAACAGCAACGATTTCAAAATACACAACTGCACGACCGTGTATCGTGTTAAACTAAACATGTTGACATCGCATTTACCACTCACACGTCACGTATGACAGCTGTCAATCACTTAACCGATGCACGTTAAACCGTAACGTGCATACTACACGTCACACATGGATAAACTCGGCACGGTCACTGCAGTTAAGGTGTCAACGTGATATTATTATCAGAGCATGTTTTTTGTTTGTTTGCGTGTTCACCACAAGTACGTGTGTGGTTAGTGCAGACAGGATTCCTTGAAAAAGGATTCTATTTGGTGTTTCAACATCTTGACGCCCGTTTTTTTTGCCATAAAGGGCAAACACCTATTGTTATAACATACTTATTTTGATTAATTATATTACGCATCATGCTTTATATGTAAAGTTGGACTATACTTCACGCTGATCATGGTCGCGGTTGGTAAAGTGATTTGCAGGTATCGCACGCGCCACTGACGTTAGAAGCGTGAGAAAGCGGCCTGGAATCAAAGTCACGTGGCCCGGTTCACAGTTTGCAGTGAGCTAACGGTTGCGCCACCGCTCCAGCCCAACAATACAAACATTGCGGTACTAACAATAACAACTTAATAAAAAAAAGTGAGTTAGGTGGTGAACGCACACCTAGGGGCTGGCGGCGGCGGGGGGGGGTGTCGCCGCACGTTGTACTGTCATTCTATGCCACTCTGCGAGGTAACATGTTGTTGCCGTCTGATAGCCAAGAGACGACTTGAGGAGAGTTCGTTCGTGTGGTTTTGCTATTTCCACTACAGTGGTTTGCTAATACGGTCCACAGTAAAACCACTGTCATGAAGAAACAATAATAGCTGAAAGTCACTTTGACAAGCGCGACATTGTGACACCCACTCTCTAGACCCCAGCGTGCCGTGCGACTTCCAACGCATTTGAATGCCGGTGCTGTTAAGTCATTGCCTGACCGTGACTTCACGAGTTTAAATGTGTTGCTATTCTTACAAAGCCCTTTTCCATTTTCTGAGTCGTTTTTAATAACAACCCAAAAGCGAGGGCAAAAAAAAAATGCAGCCGCGCCGCGTCAACTTACCCGGCACCGCGTGTGTGCATCATCGCGCAGCCTCTGACCGCCCTCAAAACAGCTGTAAAAAGTTGTCGAAGGCAATAAAACGACGGCAAAGTGACACGGGCGTGTAAAACTAACGTCGGGCACTGGTGACGGCAACAACAACAACAAACACCACCGCCGCCGCGTGGAGTGCAGCGGCGAGGCTACCCCCAGAAGCCGCCGCCACAGCCGCCGCTCTACGCTACCCCCCCCCCACACCGCCTCCACATTCCCCAGTCCGCATTAGCAGACGGACCAATTGCGTGCGAGTTTGGCCTACCGCGTGATCGGTGCTAGCCAATAGCAGAGCGGAGCGAGCCGACGGGGGAGGTAGTGGTGGGGGTGGGGGACTGTCGCCGTGGAGACGCGGGCGCGTGCGCGCTGGGAAATTGCAACGCGGATGCGCGCCCCCCCCCACCTCTCCTCCTCCGCACGAGGAGGGGCGCGGGCGTTGCCGTGGCAACGCAACGCTCGGGCCGCGTTGATTGGTCGAGGCGTCGTGCGTCGCTGGCTTCTTATTGGTTCAGCTGGAGGCTCGTCGAGGGTATTTAAACAACAAAAACCCGTTGGAGGTGTGCAAACCACGTGGTTGCACACGGTTGCCACGTGCGCGCGGCGTCGCGTGCTGGTGCCACACCACGAGGTTGCACGCGGTGCCACGTGCAAGTGCCACGTGCTCGTGCTCAGTGAGCACGGACCGTTGGGTCCAACGGGTTTAACCGCATTCCCAGCAGTGCTTGTTTACTGGGTGGTTGGGCACGTGGTTTTTTTATGATTGTGTGATGTCTTTAAAGTGCACCTGGCCTGGCACTGGCGCCGTGGTGACGTCACCGTCACTCAGTGGCTCATGGTTGCTTATTTTCCGATATCTGACGAGATCTGAAATTTTCGAGGTGGTCTGGTCATAGTTAAGGGTATGTATTTAGCATATGCCTAAGAACGTAAAAGTGCCTTACAACACAATTTCCAAGGAATACAAGCCAGAAAGGGCAAAACTGGAAAATAAGGAAAGTAGAAACGAACAATGACTCCGGACATCGCAGGAAAGGGAAACGATGCCGAACCCTAGCACACACACTCACGAAGGCGGAAAGGTCACTGACGTACAAATTGATGAAATCCATGGAAATTCCTCTTCCGCAGTCAGGATAAACAGCCATCAGTCCAGCCGACCATATCCCCCCAACAAGCCGCATCAACCACACCAGTGTGGACAATGGTGTGAGACGGTCGCATATGGTTGGTAACAAGGCGTCGTGTGTGTGGTAGGGATGGCCAAATTCTGGCTCTGGAAATCCTGCAGCCAGAGCAGAGTTTTCTAATGTTCTATATTGTATTGGGCTCGATTCAACAACAAACCTTTGTGTTGTTAAATCTAACCGGAGCACAGCTGGGGCCACTGGAGCGATTTTGAGCCTGGGGCTGGAGATGAAGTTCCAGAGCAGCTCCACTGTTTAAAAAAAGCCTGACTTTAGTTTAAGTACAGAAGTAGATTTTTTGTAACCCTCAGAAGTATCGTCCAGGGTGCCGTGGTGGCAAGATGTTAACTCACTCTCCTGGTATGTAGGAGGTCATGGGTTCGATCCCAACCCTGATGCCTCTTTATTTGGAGTTTGCATGTTTTACCTGTGGTCGTGTTGATTTTTCTCCGGGTCCAGCAATTTTTCCCTCCACTTTTAGAATCATGCATTTAGAGTATTTGGCTGTTATAAATTTCAACATGATTAGCCACTTCGTTAAGCTATCAATTATGGCCAGCTTGCTTCTGAAAAGAGCTATACAGCTCAGTGGGCCTTACCTCGTAAAATAAAAAAATAGTTTAGTTTCAATGCACAAAGCATTCAAATATCCTAAAATAACGTCTAAATTATTTGACTGCATTACATATGTAGCGCTGTAAATGGGCTGCGTGCGCTTACCTGCAGTAGCAGACACGGGCCATCAGGGGCAGTAACTTACACCGGCATGTGACTCGATACCCCAGCCCCAAAGCAGGAGGGGGCTGCAGGGTGTTCTGGGATTCCCCGAGACCCCTCCCAATAGGAGTGGGCTGCGGGGTGTCCTAGGATCCCCCGAGACCCCCCCTCCTGGAATTCTCTGGAAGGGAGGCGTGGCCAGAGGCTCACACACCGGGGAGGTGTATAAAAGCCGGACCTCTGGAAGCGTCCGGGGCCATTCAAGACCGAAGCCTAAGACCAGCTAGCCTAGGACCATGGGACCCCTAGCCCCGCTGTCCTTGTAAGGGCCGGGACTCTGTGGGCCAGTGGTGAGACCCTGGGAACCCCCGGCCCGACGTCCTTGTAAGGGCCGGGTCCGAGTGGGCCAGTGGTCGGGACCCTACCTTGGCTGGGTCCGGTCAGTGTAGCCTCTCCTAGGTCACTCGTAGCTGGAGGACTTAGAGCCGTAGCCCCGTGTTAGGGCACGCTAGTCCGGAGGCCGTACCTCCCCAGGCAGTGGGTGAAAAGGGTCGTTGCCCTGGTGAAGGCTGTGACTGTTGCTGTTAGCGTTTATAGGGATAAACGCGTTGCCTCCACGAGTTGTATCCGCTCTCCGTAAACCCACTACACATATGAGCAAGAAATCCCAGGACTTTATTGTATGTCATCATAGCTGGTAGGATGAAGGATGGGTCAGCCCCACACCATGACCGATGCACTGGAACCCTTTTTAACGTGTGAATTCAATATATATTGACAACAATGTTATCATATTCTTGGTTCTTTCGGTAAAGTTTCCCTTCTACGTGACTTTACCGAAAGAACCAAGAATATGAATCCCTGCAGTCACGAAAGCTTTAAATCAAAACAGTGTTATCACACAATTCCGTGCGTGTATCATGAGCATAAACATGAATTCAAATTGATCGTCATCCACAAGTAAATTGTATAGATGACAATTATGATAATCCATGTCACGAGTGCAAATATGCAATGTGTAGAGCCGTACATTAAATAATGAGGTATTTATGACCGTAACAATGTCAAATATAACCCACAGTCGCCCAGTACGGTACTCGGAAATAATCAGTGAGAACAAATACTGCCCAGAGGGAGAGAGACAAAAACATTGGCAGTCGTTGAAGAGTGGAGAAATTACCCAAGTGCACCACGGCATTCACATTAAATTTTCAGGGAATGCCAAAAATAACCCAACCAGCCACCCTAATCAGTCGTTTTTTTTTGCGTGCGGCGGTCATTGTAGGCTAATGAATAAGGCATGAGTACAGCAGTAGCTATGCTTATCTAATAGCAATTTGTCACATAATTATGGTTAATTGAAAGTACGGTGATACATTATCATCCCTCAGATATTTATATTATCCGGGTTCTCATCATAGTATGTGGCGCATTATATATTTCTATATTTTATCATTACTTTGAGATATGTTGAATTGTCATTACTATAATGTAAAAGTCATCCTGATATGAAAAAAGGCATAAATATCAGTGTTACACGATAGATCGATGGGTTTTCATGCACAGGATTTCAAAGATATGAATAAATATGAGCGACCAAAAACTGAAACGATGAAATCAAATTACACATTCGAGATAGACCACTACATATTTCTTGATTTCTTGCTTTGCTCTACGTGACATTTCTTTTTTTAGCAATAGACGAATAATTATCGACGGAAGAAAAAAAAAACCTAAATCTGCGCCAGCCACATTTACAATCAACATCGGTCCGGGTTTCATACAAAAAAAAATATCCAAAAGAATGTCACCTCTTCCCCGCCACTCATTGAAGTGGTGCTTGATGATTTACAGGGGGGCTGCGTGCTGACGATGAGGAGCGAGCTGGAGGAGGAGGAAGGCACGACGGCGGACAGGCAGGGAGGGAGAAAGGGTGAATTGACAGGGAGCGCAGGAGGCTGATTAGGATTCATGCCACGCTTGCGGCAATCCTCCCCTCCTATCCACCCACCCACCCAGAGCAACCCCTCCAAACCCAAAGTCACCGGCATCTTCGGCAGGAGACGAGAGAGCGAGCGAGCGAGAGAAGGAAGGGGAACCTGGAGACAACGATAGCATTATTTAACTGCACGTGCCAGCTGTTTCAGTATCAAACCCACATCTACCGAACGGCATCCGCAAGCAGCAGCAGGGATGCAAGGTAGGAGGCGAGTGTGGCTGTCGGGTGGATGCTGGCGCGTCCCCGGGTGCGGGCGAGTTGCACCCAAACCGCACGCATTTGCGTCTCGTTGTGATGTCGGGGTATGACGATGATAAAATCACCGCAGGAGCGGTCGTGATCACGTTAACGAGGAAATGTTTACTTGAGAGGAGAGGTGACGGGGGGGAGGGGGGATTTATTTGTCACGTTTTTGTGTTTTGCGTTGCATCACGGTGCGGTCCGTGCACGGTCGTGGCTTCAATCATTGAATAAGTCGAGGAAATGCACCCATGATGTGTCACAGCAAACGTACATTAAGAGCTGTTGTGAATTGCTGCCTTGGGTTGTGTTGTACCCGGTTTCCGACTGCATAATATTACAGTATTTAGTGCCATGGCACAGAGTAATTGATGATGATGGCATCAGCAGCAGTGACTTCCGTTATTGCAGAGGATATCGAAGTCGAGAGAACGTCTCGAGTACTAACGTGATCATTTACCCCAATAACAGTTGTGCAACGGTGCGTGGCTGAATGCGTTGTGCGCGTTCGTTGCTCTGGCCACATTTTGCCTTGAGAAAATTACATATTTCCAGAAATATTTAATGATACCAAAGGGACCCGTATTCCATCAGCGCCCCCGTGTGGTACAATTAACAAACAACACCCCTCTCTGATTTAAAGCTTTCGTGACTGCAGGGATTCATATTCTTGGTTCTTTCGGTAAAGTCACGTAGAAGGGAAACAATAAAAACACGCCACTTTTTTCCAAATTTCTTGCTGTGGTTTTCACACCTGATGACGATTGCTTGTGTTGCAGTCGAAACGTCGTGATAATTTTATTGTTTTATATTTTTATTATTTTATTGTTTCCCTTCTACGTGACTTTACCGAAAGAACCAAGAATATAACACCCCTCTCGTCAACATTCGTCAAGAACATTGCCTTAAAATAAAATATAAACACGCACATGCGGCTACAGACTTGTTGGTGAAAATTACTTCATCTGCTTTTTGAGTGGTGCACGAAAAGGCGTGACTCACAATATTAGTGTTGCATAGAAAGGTATTTTTATTCTCGTTGAGCACACACATCCTGGCACAAAGACAGCTCTAATTT